TAACCAACAAATATGCGAATTCGCACTGAATTCACAGTGGTGTAAGGTAAATGATATCGATCGGGACTGACCATTCTCCACACTCCTCCTCTCTTCGCACATAAGCCTCAGTTCGTCAGGCAACTGGGCACTCGGGAGGCATTTGTTGCTGCTAGAAAAACAGACCGACTGACCATATCCGAATTTGAGGCCGTCTCGAAAGAAGAAACGTTTGGGCTTCCGTGTACCGTGAAAACCACGTGCAGTGTTCGTCCTGATAGTCTTTCGTCTTCCCTTCTGAGATCTGGAGCCTATCCTCTCAGTGAATTACAACCATTATTTCTGAACAATTCCTTAAAAACTTGCTCCATGGCAGACTGTTGGAAACCGGTAACAATTGTTCCCATAACTAATTCCTCTACTTCAACCGTTCTAACCAAACGCTTCAGTCCTATCGTCTTAACTTCCGTTGGTTTTCAAATAGCAGAACGTGTTGTTCTTACGCGCATGCAATCCTCACTTGATGTCCCGTATGATCTTCTTCAGTTTGTCTATAAACCAAACAGATACAGATGCAAGATGCAATTTCCTTAATTTTGCATAAAACTACCAAATCATTGAGTGACTCGGCAAAATCTGTCTGTTGTGTGTTTCTGGAATACTCATCTGTTTTTCATTCTATTCCTCGTTCCCCCATTCTCCGTTAACTGGAGACCTTCGGTTATCCTAAACAATTATTAGTTTGGTTTGTCCATTACTTCTCCGGGAGTGGGTGCCATTACGTTTGTCTTGCTGGTATCCTTTGTATTAATAATAAATAATCTTTGATCTGTATTGAATTATGAACCATTGGCAAATTTTGTTTCATGGAATCAAAAACAGTGAGATCCTAATGCTTCCTTCCTTCTACGATTTTAGTTAACTGCACTGATCACTTTATCTCGGTTGCACTTGTATTACACCCATTCAGATCGAATATGAAGAATTGACACGAAAGTGTCAAGAGTTTGCCACGGATCTACTCGCGCAGACACGTAGCTCTGTCGAATTGTCTGTGGTGCTCAATCACGACAGTGGCAGTTCGGGAATGGGTGGTCACGTGGCCGGACTGACCAGAACCATGACCAATGAGAACGGGGCTGGCGAGCAACATTTGTCCCGATTGAAATTGGCCATTCGCTACGAGCAGAAGAATGTGAGTTACCACATCAGCACGCACAGGCGCGCGCGCGAGTGTGTGTGTGTATATCACAACGATGCAGACGAACTATTCATAGTCTGTCCAGGAAATAATGTTATATCAGCATAGCATGTTTTAGTGTTTTACAGCATAAACTCAATATCTTATGTATGCTTTGGGACAGGGAAATCGCTATTTGTGGAGTATATCGTCGCTGCCTCTGTTTTATTCGTTGCATAGAAACATGTACGAAAGAGGAATGGGAGACTATTTGCATGTTTGTGACCGAAATTGAACTGTGTTATCTCCATCATTTTTTGATTTACCACGGATTTTGGCGGGGCCTTCAAATTTGGCTGCACTGTTGTTTACCCTTCAACCATTACGACATAGTGTAGTGGTCAGGATATGGATGAATCAGGTCACGGAATCACGGATGAATCACAGTCGCCAATATCGAACTAACAATAGTAGGTTGGAATCTTACGTCATTCCAGGTAAAAAACCTGGGCATGCTAAACGTCACATTAAACACATTTAACGGTGCAAAATACGCATATGATGATTTCATAGTCTTAGGTTAGGACAATGTTCATTTTTTAACCTATCTTTGTTTGTGAGTAAACACGTAAAACAGGTGCAGAAATCGAAATAGATACGGACTACGGATCACGAATCACGATCGCAACTGGAGCACAGAATCACACTAGCAATCGTAAACCGGAATATCCCTTCTTCAATAGACAGGAAAAAAGCACCGAAGTAGCGTTTATGGGATTTAGTAATATGCACAAGGAAACGTAATTGGTTGAACAGGTCTTCCCCAATAGCTTACTTGCATTCTTGACGCATACCGCGTCTGTTTGAACCGCACGGCTTCTGATTAGTTGGTACTATTGGCTTGTGGTTCGTTGTCCAGAAACTGGAACGCATCGCTCCGTGGTCGGCGTTATTTCATAGGCTACGATCACTACAACTCGCCTCCTCCTTCATAAGAGCCTTGTCAATTAGACCTTCTCTCCTGTTTGGCATTCGCAAACCTAGCCAGGCATTCTCATCGGTAGGGTTTTCAGGAGTGAGATTGATACGATCAGATCATGTACCGTGTCATTTAAAGGAAAACGTCGAAAAACACGAATCCGTATGTGAATCATTGAACACTGAAGAACGCGAACGATTCGAGTAATTTTCCTTAGATAGCATCAGGAAAAGGGTCGAAAAGAAACTTTGTAAATTGAATAATACAGTAAACGATCAGAAAGCGAGATCAACGTTCCGCCAGAATCCGGAGCGATACGTTCACAATCTATCGAGTTCAGTTCAAATCAGTTTTTACTGCCATTAACCATGCACTTTCGTGCGCCGGTATTGGTTGCTGTCTTTTGGTTGCCCATTTATATAAAAGAGCAAAATGTAGATTGGAATATCGAAGCAAATTCAAGCGAAAGATGGGGAATTCATATAGAGTGGTGTTAGGAGAATGACGAGTGGATGCACGAGCGCCACTGTTTACGACACCCAGCCAGATCACTGAGGGTAACTAACCATCGGTGAACATCATCCCGAGGTCCACAGCCTGGGAGCCTAACAGGACCTATGTGACCCAGTCTCCTGGTTAGGGTTTTCATACCCTCATGCCGGGTCTTAGTTTGACCACCCTTTATCTTTTTCCGATCGCAACTAGCCTTGGCAAACATCGTTCGCCGCTGCAACCTATCTGGCCACATACGTAACAGATGTCCCAAACCATCGTAATCTACGGAGGTCGATCACTTGCTGTAGTGGACGACCGCGACTGCCTAAAACTCTACGCCTAACCTCAGCATTGCTCGTCCGGTTACCCCACCAGATTCGTGCAGTGCTGCATAGACAGCGGTGTTCGAACACCGACAATCTATTTTTAAAAGAAAAGACCAAATTGCAATACTGCACGATTTATGTCCAGGACGATTTCGCTGCATCTCAACATGGTGCATACTGCATAAAATACAATACTTATATAGGGATTTCGCATGGCAACAAAGATGAGTAAAATCCAATGAAGCAGGAAAAAAAACATGAAAGGGGGAGGGGTAAAAGGACTATCACCAGGGTAAGGATAAACTAACATAAAGTTCTTTTTGTTGACACAAGGGGGGCTTCCATCGACTGATAGCAATCGCTTCTGCAAACCGTAGCAATCTTGCGATTCGTGACTTGTAGATCATCTGGAACGCCATGGCTCGTGAAAAAAGGTCACCGAAAGTTCCAGAATTGATCGTTGTGTCACACACGCACACACACACCGTATCCCCTTCGCCCACTGTCCCCATTTTATCCACTCGTTCTGATTAAGCTTGCTAGATATTGTTGCATTTTTATACTTAACCTCTATAGTCCAATCAAATTTATTTCTACATTAGATATAAACACGCACACATAACTGTAAGGGCCTGAAGACGAAGTTACGAAAACAAACTTGTTCGCTAGATTGTTTGGCTTTTCAGGAGTATTGAATTTCTGGTTTCGGCACAGACGAATCCCTAAATGCCTATGCTATGGAACCCTCAGCTGGACAAGAAGGCTTCTTGAAATGGATTAGGTGAATGTGTCGTCGATGAACTGTCGCATTGTTAGGTTGGTTATCTCCACCACAAATTGGTCAATCTTTCGATGTGCACGTTGTGCACGATTTTACTCGCATCAACGCATTGTATTGCGGATCGTAAACTTTTTGCTCTAAACAGTTTTGCTGTATTATCTTTGGCGGTGTTATGCGCCACATTTCGGTATTGCACCAGGAAGTTGTCCAGGAATGCTTCCAACTCTGACATTGTCTTCGGACTCTCAGATGCAATAGCAATCTTTACCGTTTTCACCAGATTTTCTACCATACCGTTTGAACAGGGGTGACGCGGCGCCATGTATCGATGTCGCGAACCAATACGGTCCAATTATATATTCATTTCCACAGCACAAAACTGTGATCCGTTATCATTCACCAACACTTGTGAAACTCCTTCTCGACTGAAACACTTTCTTGGAGACCGCACTACTAAGAATGTTGTCACTTTACTAGTTAGATGTTGATGGGTCAAAATGGTGAAATGCAATCCAATCCAGATGCAGACGCCGAACAGCCCAATACATGACCAACCCTTCCTTCTGGTGTTCCGCAGATCGATCCTAATACTTCAACAAAAACGATGGATTCCTTACTTTTCTGTGTTCAAAATGAATTTGTGCTGCCCGCCGGACTGTAGTGCCTCTGTAGTGCCACATCTTTGTATATGAACTGAGCACAATGACTTTGGGTTCGTAATGCGTGTTCCTCTGAGCCGCTGGCTGTGTTAAGTTACAGCTGGGCTGTTTGCACATTCACCGTAGGTGGCCAGTTTCCCACATCAAAGGCACTTAGCATTGTAGAATCGATAGATGGAGCGCAGATGGTAAGTTCCACACGATAGGCATAGTTTGATGGATTTTGTGATGCTAGGATCGTCGCTTGAGTGCATGTTTGGCCATTGGAGAACGGACAGATTTCTGTCTGTGCAGTTGGAATAGAGTGACTGATCTACTGGAGATGACCTGTATCAGATCATCATGTTGTTCACAGATCTTGCGTGCCTTTGCGAACGTTTGATCTTTCATTTTCAATCAATTTCCGCTGCAGTAGCAAGTTTTTAATACTTCCCACCAAACCGCTGTACAGTTCCTCCAATCGGTCGCCATAATTACAGCATGCTGCCTGCTTGTTCAGTTGGAGGATGAAATCGCAACAATATATGTTTTCGGCAACAACCAAAGAATTGAATTTTGCCATTTCGTTTGCCTGGAACTCAGTGGGCAGCAGATGAGCAAACAGCAATCGCTTCGAGGAAGTTTTGCGGGAGCCTCAAGAATTGTCAAATGTTTAGACAGAGAGTAGAGATCACGGCCGCCCACAGTGAGAAATGAGGGGCTGACTTGTTTTGTGCACCACCTTTGCGAAGACTGCCCCACAATTCTAACCGTTCGACCCACTCCTCGAACTCGGATGGACTGGCAAGCAGGTTTAGTTGTTCAACAGTTGGATGCTCCATCATGCGACGCCAATTTGTGGTAACTGTAGTAATTGTGGTACGTTCTGATCACGAAATACGAATCACGGATGCCACGTAAGCACTGGATCAAACTGATACTTGCACGACAATATCCCACAGAATCGAGACGCTCGGAAAAGACCACAGGAATAGTAGTTCGTTTATTGAAAGAAATTAGGGGGATTAAACAATAAGTACAAAACAAATTCATTGGTTTCATTAACACAGATTAGTGCGAGGGAGACAACATAAATTCCCATAGACGATCATTAATCTTGCGGCATTGTATGTCCTTTCCACGGCGTGTGTTAAACGTCGAGATATCTTTGTTGTTACATCATCTCCCTTGAAAGACAGTTTTCTATATAGACATCTTTCTTCTTAGCTAATAGGGAAATAGGCTTGGCCTTGATCGGCTTGCTGTACTTGTGGATGAATGCGATGAGATAACCATTGTCTAGCAAAGCATCGGTCAATCGGTCTAGTTCATCAGGACTTGAGGGCCACATAGTGGTTTTCGAATGATAAGAAACGTTTTGCGTGAACAGGTGCTGAATGAAAATAGACCGAACCAACTTGATTCTACTCAAGTTTATCTTGTTTTGTCGTCGTTGCAATACGAGCAGTGATTTGCACAGTTTTTACACCGAGTCAGGTGTGTGTGTATGTGTGTGTGTGTGTGTGTGAAGTTCGTGGGGTATTCCTACCTGAAGAAAGGTGTATCAATAATTCAGAGTTTGTCACGATGATAATTCTGTTCCCTCCGTAGCAAGTAGCAAGAGTAGAAGGTCGACCGTGTAGCACAAGGGCATGGGTTTGAAGTCCCGACCCGAATTTTCACGGTTCGAGTCCTGACACGGGGACACAAAAAGTACGCACTGCTGACGAGTCCCAAACAGGATGAAACCGCTGTCCCGGTGCCCTTTGTTGGTTATCACAAACATTCCTATCGCATGGAAATTAAAAGCTGTGTCAAAAAAGTACAGCACTCAACGAGCATCGACGCGATCTCAAGTTATTTATCTCTTTATTTGTTGATTAATGGAGGATTTGATCCAATTTCAAAAGGGAATTCGTCGTGTATAGCGAGCAAATGAAGTGAAAAGCTAGGAAGCACTGGACAGCTGAGACCCAACCAGGTCGAAACAGTTGTCCAGTTCTTCCTAGCATTTCACTTTATTTGTTATATATACACGACGAATTGCCCTCTGAAATTATTGATTACTTAGACAGACACTCAATTTCAATTATAAGGGTCCGTGGTTTGTGGTTTAGTGTCGTAAGATTTCAAATTGCGGCCACAACTAACCGCACGAATGATCACAACTCATCCTTATTGGAACTCACGTGATTGATCCGATCTACTATTGACTGAACGAGTATTGATTGACCCAGCGTTGTTCAGTGACTTATGCTGTTTCAGATTGGAAATAATCAACCCGGGGATAGGCAGATACCGTAGAAAATCAGATCTATTTTACCGTACGAGTTAACCGGTCACTCACGGCACATATATTTGTTGATCAAACCATCTTGTTTGATGAATTTTTTCTCAACTTAGCTATGGGTCAATTCCATCCAGTAGCATATCTTCGATCTGGTTTCTTAATTCCACATCCTCAACCAAATCCATTAAGCTGCTTGAATCGAGCAACAGATTAGAATATCCGAATGGCGCTGAATTATCAAAGTGCTGACTAGGAATGAAAACTTAACATTGCTATGTGATTACCCGTTCCCCGAGTTATACAGACATACACACACATACACACACACACACACACACTCAAACACTACTCTCCCAAATTTCAGTCATAACTATTTTTTCCCCTCTGAATAATCTTCTTCCGACAGTTCGTTGCACATCCGCACTGTCAACAACTACTCGCCTCAATGTGGTACGAAGGCTTGCCGGGGTTCCGGCAGAAACCAATGGTTGCCCAAATGATGACAATTGGCACACTGTGTGCCATGTTCCCGCTGTTGGCCACTTGTTATATGCTGGCGCCCCAGTCCAAGCTGGGCAGTATGATGAAGAAACCGTTTATCAAGTTCCTCTGTCACAGCAGCTCGTATTTGTCGTTTTTAGGTAAGTCATTGTCTCGTTTGTTTGCTTGTTCGTTTTTATGTCGAGATTGTGAAAAGTTCAGTAGCCTCAGTGGGATTCGAACCCACGCATGGACGCCACCTACGCGTGGTATCGTTGTGGTTTCGTAGCTCAGCTGGTAGAGCGTGGGGCGCTGTATAACCTGCCAAACAACAGTTTGAACTGTTTGTTTGTTTGTTTATATGAGCTCGCAAAGTTAAGGGGAAAAGAGGTTGATCAAACCATCGAGTGGTACAACTGTATAAGTCGGGTGCAACGTTAGTTCCCCTTAAACCTACTATAGCTTCCAACGGTATCCTTTGGCCATCCGTTATGTTCACACACTGTAGGAAGGGCCAATAGAGGCTGTAAAAACTGTGTGAAGCTGCAACTCACCATCGTGGGAGTGTTCGAGAATTGCGTAGCCGTATCCTGACGAACATTTGAATGGAAATTCCATCATTCCGGTTGACCAGTTGGACGTTTGAACAGGCACACAGATGTATTATAGCTGATCAGTTTCAGGCTACAGAGATTGGTTTTCATCACTCGAGAAGTATGAGTGGCCCTCAGTGACGAAAGTCCTTGGAAGTCTTTTCATACACAATCCCCAGACTGCATGCTGAATTCGGTTTGCCATTTGTTTGATCACATGACTTCAGACAGATTGATTACATTTGTACGCGATGCAAATGATACGAGTTTATCACTTTTGATCCTGGATAATGCTTTTTCAAGTTCAGACTGCTGATTCCCCGGGTAGGAGACACTGTACAACTGTTCCATATTTCACGTAATGAATTTGTCGTGTAAATGAGATGTGAGCTGAAAACCTAAAAGGCACTGGACAGCTGTTTCGATCTGGTTGGGTCTCATCCGTACAGTGCGAATCCATCGACCCAACTGGGGATCGGACCTAGAACCCCACAGGTAGAACCCAAAAATAAAGATCCAGTGTATGTTCACCAGAAAAGTGCGAACTAATTGCTTGGTGAACTAGGGCCATTAGACATTGAGGATAGGAAGTCACTGTTCGCAGTGTATTTATTCACCGAGCGAGAAGTTTTTCTTGTTTCCATGTTACCATGGTTTCTCCCCGATACGGCTTTTTGAATAAATTCAGTATGATAAGTACAATTCTGTCAGCTACACTTAGCTTGTATGGTGGCAATATCACAAACGTCGAGGATAGTAGTTGCACATTCCTGCAATCAGCCTCATCACGAATTTATTTGTTCTGATCACCAACATCTAAAGCTGTATCGACTGCTCTGGTAGTCTCAACGTAAAAGTTTTTTTCAAAAAACTGAATGAGTGTTCATCGTTGTTATGTCTTGCCAAGACATATGACCGATACGAGCTCCTCTTGACTGGTCCCCAAAAATTGGAGAGAGAACACGGCTGAGAAGACGATAGTCAGAATATATTATTAACCATGACACAATACGCAAAAATGTATGTGGTAAATTCGGTGTACGTGATGATGCACCAATCAGATCACGTCCTTGACATTCCGATTGGTCGATCGGATGATAGCAGTCTGATTCACCTCAGTCATCCAATCCGGAATGGATTCGGCTTTGAGCGTCACGAACGCACGGATTGATGCGGGGCCTGATGGGTTCTGTGCTTTCCGTCCCACCAATCGTGAACCAGTGCACTGCGAAAAAGACCGATTCCAGAGAACGGTTGTTGAATGAACCTGCCAGCAGACTACACCAGGAAGGTACAACGAGATGAGTATCTTTAATTCTATCCTGGCTATTTCCTTAGTGTCGTATGCCACTAATAACACAGAATGGTTTTAAATACAACCTCCTGAATGAGGCGTAATCAGTGTACTCTTCATTCAGTCCTGGGAATACAATGAACACATTCATTCATCCAGGAGTGCTATTGTCGTCCTTTATCCAGCTCTATAAAAATATAATTTATTGAATCGAGACAACATTCGACCACCACAACCATCTGGTTGCTTAAATTTCAATCGCACAGATGACGTTGAACTAACCGTTCTTGTGTGTCTTCCCCGTCGATCTCATTTTGATGGCTTCGGTTAGTTAAGGAATAGGTCCGAAGGTCAATGCATTCTGCACCTGTAAGTGCAACTTGATCAATCCGAGTCCATGCTGCCCAATCTCGCTTTACTATACCGGTCAAAAAGTTCATGGAGTGTATAGCACCCAAGCAGCTGGGTCAAGTTTCACGACATTTTTTCACCTCCTTATGATCTACTCTCTCCCGGAAGAAAGGCCTTTCACAAGTAGGACAATGTAGTTGCCA